GGGACGTGCATCCACTGAGCCTCCGGGAGTCGCTCTTGGATGTGGGCCACCCTGTTGGCCACGAAGGTTTTCCACCGTGAAGCGTGCCCGTGAATCCAGTCCAGCGTGACGGTGGAGTCTGACCATAGGACGAGTGGAGCTGAAACGAGATTCAGAGCCTCGCGCACATGGTGCGCGAGATTGGTCAGAAGAGTTGCTGCGGCGAGTTCCAACCGGGGCAGCGAGACCGGCCGCACCGGAGCGACCTTGCTTTTTGCGGTGAGTAGGTGAGTTGATATGCGGTCGGATCGCGAGATGCGGAGGTACACCACCGCGGCGTAGGCTCGTTCGGACGCGTCGGCGAAGCCGTGCAGCTCGACGGCGGCGCCCGGGCGGTCGACCTCCAGCCATCGTGCGACTCGAATGCCTTCGAGACTCGGAAGGTCCTCGACGAACGCGCGCCACAGTCGAGCGTCGGATGCGGGTAGCGGGTCGTCCCAGCCCAGCCCTTGCAGCCAGGCGGACTGAATGTAGATTTTTGCCCTGATGATGGCGGGTGTTAGCCATCCCAGCGGGTCGAACAGTCGGGCAGTCTCCGCCAGGACTGTTCGCTTGGTGAATGTGGGCACTGTGCGCGGGTGAAGTGAGACGGAGAAGGTGTCGTCAGTGGGGTACCACAGCAGGCCCAGGGTGCTGTGGCTGTCCTCCTCCCAACCTCGCGCGGGGGTTAGGAGCCGATGCTCCTGCGGGATCCCAGCGAGGACGGCCTCGCAGTTCGTGGCCCACTTCCTCAGCGGGAACCCGCCCGCCGTGCACAGCCCCTCGAGTTCGAGGGCCATGCGGTTGGCTAGCTCTGCAGTGTCGGCGCCGGTGACGATGTCGTCCACGTACGTGTCGCGTCTCAAGGCGACGGCGCCCAGTGGGAATTGCGGTCCCTCGTCCTCGGCCAACTGACGGAGCGTCCTGATGGCGAGGAATGGTGCACATGCCAGGCCGTACGTCACCGTGTTGAGGCGGTACTCCTGCACCGCCTCGTCGGGCGTCGGGCGCCAGAGAATGCGCTGCCAATCCCGGTCGTCAGGGTGGATCAGGATCTGGCGGTACATCTTCTCAATATCCGCCATGAAGACGTAGTGATGCCGGCGCC